ATGGTGACTCCCAAAGTTTCCCAGTTTCGCCTTTAACCAGCAATGAAAAAAATCTGAAACATTTTCAGCACCAGTCACCCACTGTTCCTAACTGCTTGTCAACAATGGGCCAGAACTGTGGCTCTGGCCTAAACAATGACAGTCCCGAGGCCCTCGAGGTCCCCTCTTTGCAGGACTTTAACGTTTTTTCCACAGATTCCTGCCTGCAGCTTTCAGACGCAGTCTCGCCCAGTTTGCCGGGTTCCCTCGACAGTCCTGTAGATATTTCAGCTGACAGCTTTGACTTTTTTACAGACACACTCACCACAATCGACTTGCAGCATCTGAATTACTAAAAACATTAAAGCAAAACAAAGCATCACAAAACAAAAACCCCTTTGACCGGGTGGTTTTGCCTTCCTTTATTCTGAGAGTTAATTTTTATTTTATTTTCTTCTTGACTTACCCTCTCCCTCCTTTAAATGTTGAAGATTTTTCTGTTTAGTGATTCCCTTAACCCAGTTACAGAGCCATCTTTTTCAGATTATTTTGGAGTTTTAGTTGTTTAAAATCTAATCCAACAACCCTCTATGTGATTTCCTGAAAGCAATATATGAGGCCTGCAAGAAAGTGATCATATAATTGTATCTTCACTTTCTTTTTATTTTTGTATTACATTAGAATGCATTGTCATGCGTATTTTTGGTAGAATAAATTCTCCTTTGCTATAAGTAGCTTTCTTATTTTTTTTCCTCCCCCTCTTTCTCAAGGCTCATAACAGTTTCTTTTTCCTCTTTTAGTCTAACTTGGTAAATAAAATTCTGGTCACAATCCACTTTCTTTTTCAATTTTAATATATTTATTAAATGGGCATGTTCAAAGTCTTCAATAGACAGCAACAAAAAAAGAAAGCCAGAAAATGGTTAGGGCTTCTGAGAAGTGTGGTTTTTTTGTTTTTTAAGGGAATGGATTAGGTTTTTCAATGTAGAGATTCAAGCCATAGATTTAAATTGGTAATAGAAACAGGACTGGGCAGCCTCAGAGTTGGGCCAAGCCCAAGCTTTTGAAAGTGGAGAAATAAAGTGCCTACAGAAACCTCCAACTCCAGGAAGGAGGAACATGGAGTTTCTTTAACAAGCTACCAGTCTCCAGGTCAATAACTAAGTTATCAAGAATTCATTTATTTATACACATTTGTTTCAAACATTTACATTCCAAACCCCTCCCCCACAAATCCCCAAACATTTTCAGTGTGGTTGATTAGTCTCCCAGCTGTTGATGGGTCCAGGCAAACAGACCTAAAACAGAAAAACAAAAATAAAACAAAACAATGGTTACTAGCTGGAAAATGCACTTCATAAAGGGTTTTTTTTTTTTTTTTTTTGCAATCCTCTGGTTCAGTCATTCTAGGATTCTTTTCTTTTTTTTTCAGGGTCATAAAAATCAATATTTCATTCTTAAATCTGTTTACATGGCAAATAATGGATCATTAAAGCTTTGAAGTCAGGTTAGCAAGATGAGATTTAAAGTGGAGTGTTTCTACCCCCCAGGTTATAAATTAACCCAGTTTCTAGAGAGAGAAAGAGAAAAAGCACTTTAAATGAAATATCAATAAAATGTGAACTAGGGATGTTACTGGGTTGTTCTGATTTTTTCTCCCTTCTTATGTCTCCCCATGTTTATTTTTCCCTTACTGAGCTCTGTTCCGATGGCTACTTACCGTGAGAAAAGGCAGCGAGTAAGCAACATGTGTGGGGGGCGGGTTGATTTAAGAACCCGGCTCTTAATAGCAAAGGCTTGGAAGTTATGAGGAAATCGCGATCCTTCTCCCCGGGTTTGCTGCCTACCCTCCCCCACCCTTTTGCCCCCTAAATCCCGGCAGCGGCGGAGGCGAGTGGGGACCCGGGCAAGTCTCCTGCCCCAGGCGCGGAGCGGAGCAGGCGGCCCGGCCGAGGCCAGGGTTTAGCCGCTGCTGTTTGCGATTCATCCTACGCTCATAAATCAAACGCTTTCTATGAATGAGAATGTCATCAAAGAGATCAATTGCAGGAACACATGCACAAATAAAAATCCTCTTACGTATTTGCCGGGAATCCCCGTCCGAAAGCATTAAGTTAGAAGGCGTTTAGTCATAATTCATTTTTATTGCTCTTTTAAAACAACAGCTTGGCTGAGCCGCGGATGCCATGAACAGCTCGGGGCCTCGGCGGCGTTTTGTCTCCTCCTCGCTCCTTCCCTTTCTACTACTAGAAGAGCCCTGAAAGAGGCGCTTTGAGCTCAACAAGCCGCTTGCAAGGGATCATTTAAATAGTGACCGAGCTCGCCTTTCACGCACTCTCCTGGGGCGTTTAAAGAGACTTTAGCTCGCGTCGTGGGGCTCTGGCCTACTTGCCCCGAGGACCTAGGGTCTCCCACTCGGCGAAATGAGCCCTAGGATTTCGTGGTGGTGAAGGAACCAAGCTACGGAAGCCTGCGGGATCGAGGCCAGAGGAGGCTGCCTTTGTGAGCCGCACCGGGAGAGCGGCGCTCTGGGCGACCAGCCGGGGCGGAGTCGGCTCGACCTCGAGAGCCCGGCCAGCCCGGAGCAGCGCGCGGAGGCGGGTCGGTCGCGGCCCGTGTGCAGCGGCCCTGTGTGCTGGCGCAAGCTTGTGATCCCAAGAAAAACACTCCACCCACGATGGCCGGGAAAAAGGCCCGGAGGGAGGAAGAGAGGTGGAGGGAGAGGAGCCCAGAGGCGGAGAACTAGCAGAGGAAGGAGAGCGGTTGCAGACTGGGGTGGCTTTGTGGCGCGAGCCCTGCTGCCGAGGGGGTCGTGCAGACCCGAGCCGAGGAGGCCAACAAAGGGACAGGAATGAGGCAAGGGGGAGAACGTACCGACGAGCTTCGGCTGTGAGAGCAGATCGTCCTCAGTGCCAGGCCAGACCCCCTAAGGTCCTGCCTCCTCCCCCACAGGAGCCCCTTCTCCCCCCACCCCCCCGCCACTGGCTGGAGGCCTGGCGCTCCCAAGGAAGCCACCTCCAGGAGGGCCTCCTTGCCTTTTCCCTTCTCCCGGATGAGGTTCCCCAGGTGCTGAAACTGGGGCAGGAGTGACCTTTCCTGGTTCCCTCTTAACCATGATTGGGGATGGGTCGCAGGTCACAGGAAAATACCCTTTCAAAAGGAAATGTTTAGGAAAAATGTTCCTTTGCTACTGAGGGAATCTACAGTCAAATGTCTGCCAGTTTTCCCTCTTGGGGAGACAGGTTAGGAGGGAACTTCTATACGTGAAGAACAGAACACAGAAACCTGAAAGGCTGACTAACACATTTGAAATGTGCCTGCCTCAAGAAAAACTTCCTTCTTTTAACTGGGGAGGGAAAGCTAGAGAGGAGTGGGAACCCCAAATCCACATACAATCCTCAGATAAATTTGATCTGTCGGATTCCGATGTGGTGAACATGGTCAGAATAAAGCTACACAGCATTGGCTGCAAAGCTTCTGGATGATGTCTGGATTTCTTTTACCCAAGAATGCATCAATTCTTGGCCTCTGTTTGGCCTTTTCTCTCTACAAGCTAAGGGTTCACACGAAACCTAATAGTAAACAGCAGTTAACAACCCCGTCGGCATCGGGGTAGGACGAGGGTGATGGAGAACAGGACCCCTGTCCTGGGATGACGCTCAGATTTGCACGTGTCTCTCTAGGGAAAGACTTGAAGGTTCACACAAGGAACTACGCAGTCAGTTGTTGGGGAAGGAGGAAATGTCCCGTCCACCATCAGCCATCTGTCCCCCGCCCCTCCCACCTGCCAGCCCCCCACCCCCACTTCAGCTGTGCAGTAGAATGGGGGGGTGGATAAAGGAAGCTCTACCACTCCTAACATCTCCCTTCAGAAAACGAGAAACGTTGCGGGGAGTGGGGGGGGAGAGTCCATCGTAGTTTGCGGTAGCCGTGGTCTCGCCCTTTGAGGCCCCGGTCGGATCACGCAGGCTCCTGGGTCCTAGGGAGCCGGCAGATGGCCTGCAGCGCAGGGCCCGGCCCCCAGGCTTGACACGTCCGCTAGCGTCATCTCTCTCCCCCCGCCTCCTACCCCTCAAAATCCACCGGCGGAGTTGCTACGGATCCCGTAGGGCTCCCAGAGCAAGCTGAGTGGGGAGGAGAAAGGGGCGGAGAACGAGGAGAGAGGGAGGGCGAAGAGCTGGGCCACCCCTGGTCTTGGCCAGCAAGCCTAGCTCCCAAGGCTCACCCACTCCCGGGCGTCGAATTACATACAAAAGCTCCACGTTGCCACGCTAATAGCCGACGGGGGGCGGAGGGAGGGGGAGGAGGAAAGGAGGCTTCAAGACCCTCCTTGGAGAAGGGAAGTTTCCTTTTTTGCCCTAGTCCCCTCCACGCCCACTCGGGTTCCTCCCAGCCAGCTCTCTGCGTACTTCCCTCTCCATCCCGAGCTTAGAGAGCTGGTGGCCCAGCCTCGTCCTACGCCACCGTTCTCGGCACTCCTCGAGGCACCGCAGAAGGCACTGAACGGAAAGCGCCCGGGTAGCAACCCTTCCAATTCCTTGCGTTCCGGGCTCGGCCAGTGTGCTAGTGGCGGCCCAGCGAGCTCCCGCCCACTGATTCCCGACCCGAGAGATCGAGGAGCCCTCCTCGCTTCTCACCTCTTGCCAATTCATCTTTCTGTGCGCGGTGGGGAAGGGGGCGGTGACGGGGGATGCCTTCCAGCCCCCACTTCCCGGAGGGGGGGGAGATCGGAGTCAGCGCGCGCAGAAAGCAGCCTCTGCTCCCCTTCGCCCCAGCGCTCCGAATCTGCCCCGGCAGCTGCCGCAGCTGCTGCTGCCGCCCGGGCTGCCTGGGGGGGCGACTGCGCGTCACCTAGACTGAGGAGCGCTGGGGATTTAAATGCCACTGAAATGGTGATCCATCACCGCAGGAGCCAGCAAACTTTCGCAGCAAGCTCCGCCATTGGTTGATATAGTCACGTGCCCCTCCCCTAGCGCCCTCCGCCCTCCCGCCCCCCCTCTTGCGCACTGTACATTCATATCATTTTTCTTCTCCGGCCCCATGGAGGAAGTGAGAAAGTTGGCACGGTCACCCAGGGCTTCGCAGGACCCGGTCACTCAGTGACAGATGGACAATGCAAGAATGAGCTCCTTCCTGGAATACCCCATCCTCAGCGGTGGCGACTCGGGGACCTGCTCAGCGCGAGCCTACCCCTCCGACCATGGAATTACAACTTTCCAGTCGTGCGCGGTCAGTGCCAACAGCTGTGGCGGCGACGACCGCTTCCTAGTGGGCAGGGCGGTGCAGATCAGCCCGCCCCACCACCACCACCATCACCACCCCCAGCCGGCCACCTACCAGACTGCTGGGAACCTGGGGGTATCCTACTCCCACTCGAGTTGTGGTCCAAGCTACGGCGCGCAGAACTTCGGCGCGCCTTACAGCCCCTACACGTTAAATCAGGAAGCAGAAGTAAGTGGTGGGTACCCCTCGTGCGCTCCCGCTGTTTACTCTGGAAATCTCTCATCTCCCATGGTCCAGCATCACCACCACCACCAGGGTTATGCCGGGGGCGCGGTGGGCTCGCCTCAGTACATTCACCACTCATATGGACAAGAGCACCAGAGCCTGGCCCTGGCCACGTATAATAACTCCTTGTCCCCTCTCCACGCCAGCCAAGAAGCCTGTCGCTCCCCTGCATCAGAGACATCTTCTCCAGCACAGACCTTTGACTGGATGAAAGTCAAAAGAAACCCTCCCAAAACAGGTCAGTCTTGCCATTCCATGAAAGCTCCTTGATGATTTTGGAAGGAGCTGGTATGCTTAGTTTCCAAGGAAAATTAATCATATTTTTTTTTAAAGTTCTTGCTTCCCACCTGTGTTGTAGGGTGTGGGGTTTACCCAGGTGCGTTGGGGCAAAGGAGCATCTGGGACTGCTGTATTTCCAAAGGGGCTGGGTTTTAGAGGTTTGGGAACTAGGAAGTGGGAAGTGGGTAGGTGTGTGTGTGTGGGGGGGCGTCCTGTTAATATCTCCAGGCTCCATTAATCATGGTCTGACCATGCTAACGGTTGATTTCAGATTAACATTTTACACCTCATCACTCACCCTCCCAAGCCCAGTTTATGTTCAGAAATTCTTGATTCCTCTTTACCCGAAGGTTGCTCTGAAGCGTGTACGGAATCTCATACCGATTATAAAAATTTTTACCTTTTCCTCTCATCGCTTCCCACCTTGCCCCCAGGGAAAGTCGGAGAGTATGGCTACGTGGGTCAACCCAATGCAGTGCGTACCAACTTCACTACTAAACAGCTCACGGAGCTGGAGAAGGAGTTTCACTTCAACAAGTATTTGACGCGTGCCCGCAGGGTGGAGATTGCCGCATCCCTGCAGCTCAATGAGACCCAGGTGAAGATCTGGTTCCAGAACCGCCGAATGAAGCAGAAGAAACGAGAGAAGGAGGGCCTCTTGCCCATCTCTCCAGCCACTCCGATGGGAAGCGAGGAGAAGGCCGAGGAATCCTCAGAGAAGTCCAGCTCCTCACCCTGCGTTCCTTCCCCGGGGTCTTCTACCTCAGACACTCTACCTACCTCCCACTGAGGCCGCCCCGGCCCCACTCTGCAGCCCAGGCTACTCCTCCGGCTGGGACTTCTTACCCAAAGCACATTCTTAGCTTATCTTCCTCTCCATTTACAATCTTTCTCTTCCTTTCTGATCCTATCTGGGGAACTCCTGGCCAGGATAATGGGTTTCCAGAGAATTCTGGATTAGAAACTTGATGAGGGGGGAGGGGGTGTTAGCTCCGTAGCACAGATTGAGTGCCAGCATCAATTTTCTGATGGCACCTAACACCCCTACTTTTAGGAGATTTCGACAGAACCTACTGTTCCTTTCAGATGCCCTTTGGAAAATAGTTTCCTCTGCCAGCCGAAACATGTCAGAGCAAGGCCTCTCATCTTTTATCTATCTGTATATTTACAGTTCTCCCCTACTTTGCCCTTAAAGTAGGCTAGAGAGAGAGAGAAGAGGGTCCAGGAGTTCATGAAGAACAGATACACTATGAGAGTGTTTACACAATTAATTCATCCCTTAATTTAATTCAGTTTTATGTGTGTGAGTGTGCTGGTTGTAAATGCTTTGTCCTGAAAGATTTATCTTTATACAGATTTTCTAGAAATGTTTTGATTAAGTGACCAAAACACAGTGGGCAAACTCTCAAAGCTGGTACAACTTTATATGTGATTATAGGTTAAAGAATTAAAAGCTCTCCTTTAAAATCAATCAGATGCCTCAGATGGTAGCCTCAATTTGTTCCTTCAGTGAGTTAAGAAGGCCTGCAGAACACAAGGGTCAGAAACCTTGCTTCCTGTGCTAAGTCTCTCCCCATCCCCACTCCTTTCTTGTTTCTCTGGCCACACTCTATCTAAAATTTGTGCTGGATTATTCAGCATCTAAATGCATTATTCAAACCAGCTTCTTCCTTCCACAGTTATCTTAGCTGGATATGATATATTTTCAGCTCAATTGTTAATGTGATGGATGGCACAATGAATGTATATTTTGTGTGATTCGTGAACAGTCTTTTGCATGTCGCACAATGTTTTGATGTCCCTGAAGTACCACACTGAGTTCTATCAGTTATCCTTTGTGATATTCCCCATTTCCTGTACAATCATGAACAGCTCAGAGATCCCGGAGTGATGTGATCCAGAGCAGAATTTACGGGTCTTAAGATGTCTGTAATAAATATATTCAGGTTTCTGATATGCTTATGCATCTGTGTATTTGGCTTGGCTACAATTTGCTGGTTCCTACAAAGTTGGCTCATTTCACATGGGGGAGAGAAGTGTGGTGTGTATTTTCAAAGAGGTGGGCCTTTTCTTGAAAAAAAAAAAGGAAAGGCTTTTCATTATGTAGCTGAAGCTTCCCCTATGAGTGTAATTGCACCTAACGATGTCTATGTAATAGGTTGATTTTCTTTAAAATAGCAGCAGCTGCCTTCTTATAGTCAAAGCTCATTATGGAAAAAAATGAACGGTGAAGAAATTTATGAAGCAGATCTATTTTTGAAACAAACATGGATACTTCCTGGGTCAAGTGCTAACCTTTTCACCTCCAACTCAACGTTGACATATATATAAACAGAATCCCCTTCAAAAGCTGAAACTCTTCAGTCAGTCTTTCCTCACATCAATGAACCAAGAGCTAAGAGATTCACATTTAATTATCTCCAGTATAAAGCTGTTTGAGGACGGGGCCCCCACCCCACCCCTCTTCCTTCTTTCTGGATTGTTGGACAGCGTACCAAAATATTCCACTCTTTAAATTGAGTGTGGTCTGTACTGAGTAAACCTTTGCATCCCTCCTCCAATTCCTCCTGTCAAGATCCACTCCTTCCTTCCACTTTTTAAACCCCTACTCCCAATTCCTTCTGGGTTACATATCTCATTCCCATCAGATTCAGCTTTGATTTCACAGCCACCATGGCTGTAATGGGTCTACCGCTCAATTTCCATGCCACATAACCCAGAAAAACATTTTAATTTTCTCTGGGCTCAATAGGTTCTTCCAGGTGAACTTGTGGAAGCCGCCCTGAAGTCTGTCCATATTCAAGTTGCTTCTGACCAATGCATGTGTCTGCTGGTCTCAAACAGAAGAAGCCAGCAAATCAGAAGTTCAAAGTGACTCTCCTCCTAGACCTGTTACCACATTCCCTTTACTTTCACACATTTTTGGAGGCTTTAATTTAACCCCAAGAGTAGAGCAGAAATTTTACGGCATCACAAACAAATACAGACATATGACTTCCGCTCCAAAGGGTGTTTTACAAAGGATGGGCTCGGGTTCAGGGTGGGTGGGTAGTGAGAAATCTTACAAAAACTTGTAATTTGCAGGCCTCCTAGAGCATCCTTGAGATTTCCTGTAGTTCCCTGTCAAAAAGAGTGAGCCGGGACTCTGCAGGCGCAGTTGCCGCGGCCATATCAAGGGCACCCAGTGCCCTCCCCTCAGCTCCTGGGTTCTGGGGTTGCTTCTAAAAGACTCAAGTGGATGGAGGAGAACTTCAAAGTCAGCCAACTCTTTCTTTCATTTCCCGCCTGGCCGTATACAGTATCTTTTGTTTATTAGTGTAAAGCCACACAGCGAAACAGATGGCTGGTTTCCAAATACTTTAATGTGTTAAAGTGTCATTTGCATGCCACTGCCGAGATTTCAATATCTAAAAGCAGGGCCAACCCGCTGGAATCCGGAGATTCCAATCTTCTAGGTGCTGGTTTTAACGCAGCTGAGAGAGAGGAGAATGATGAATTATGGCTAAACATCCCAAGCCTTCTCTAGGTCGTGGAATAAATCAATTAACAAGCAATGCATTTAGGAAACATTAATATACCTTTCAACAAGGAAAACATTTGTATCTTTTAGTTGTCCCAATCGATTAAATCAAAGGCGCTTAACACATCCTATTTCAAGGTCTCTCTTTTTCTGTTTTGGTCTCTGAGGAGCACAGTTAGCTCCTTGAAAAATGACAGCCATGGTAACTGAAACGACAGAAGATGGAAAACAGAAAATAACATTTTATTGATAAATTTAAAAAGGACAGGAGTCTCAATTAGGGACTTGGGATAATCACAATATAAAATTCCAGTTTTCCAATGCTTTTTCCTCACTTCTCTCACCTTCATTCAAAGTACTCCAGAAATTTAGGGTGTCCCCAACTGAGGCTGAGTTGAAATTGTGCTGTGACTCTGAAGTCTGCTCTCGGCTTCACCTTTGAAAGTTTACTTTTGGAGGCTATTCAGATGTCCTGGTGTTTTCCTCTGGGGCAATCAGATTCAAACCGATCAATATTTACTCAGTCTGAAAGGGTTGTTGAAAAGCCTGCTAACAACAAACTGCTTAGCTGCTCACCCCTGTTTAATCTCAGGTTCACTGAAAGTTCAAGAAGAGATGAATGCAGTGATGGGTCACTTTAGAATGAGTCCCAGTGGTTTATCTGAGCTCTCTGCTAAAGGCAACAATTATAGTTCCATCCCTCTTTGGGAAAGGGTTAACTTGCCTATTATTCTTTTGCTAAACAGTGTTTACTAGAAACTTAAAACACTTTCCTCTCCCTTCCTGACTTTTTTTGGGGGGGGGTGGAGAGGGACTTTCCAGCTGCCCTTCTCCTGTCTCCTCTAGCTTTCTGCCAAGCCACTAGGTTTCATTTGACTTAAAATAAATTACATGGAATATTTAAAAAACATTCAATTAGCCTGACAGAAGAGATCTGATTTATTTCAGATGCCACGAACTATGAAATGAAGCTCTTTGGGCCATTAGAGTGTATCTTCTTTGCGAAAGAACAGGGCAAGATTGAACTGAAATCCATTTGCGTTTGAGTAATATCGACAATCAGAGCCCCAATATCCATCTGAGATGGCTGTTTAGACATCAGATGGGGGGAGTGGAGGGGGAAGTGCCTTGTGCAGAAGCAAATACCTCAGGTGGAAAGTCAACTTTAAAATTTTATGCCCTCCGAGCATACAAACTGCTGAGATGAAAGGAAGACCCAAGGAAGCCAGTGGGGAATGATGGGAGAAGATGCTGGACCCTGAAGCTAATTGCTACAGCTCTTCAGAGGTCAAAGTTCATATAATCGCTGCATAAATGCATACTAAATAGGGACTTATTAAGCTTTTCTGATGGCTGAGCACGTCTGTGAAAAAAACGGTCACTGCTGTTTGTGTTTCTTCCTGAAGAATCATCATCCTTGCAGTAGAAGCTCTAGGAGTCTGAGTCTTTAATTTACTATTTTGAATGACAGGCAAACTTCTGTTTTAAAATTTTGAAAACGGTGCGTGAACAGCATCTTTCTTAATATTGGTTGGGACTGTAAAATACCTCTCTCGGAAATGCTATGGCTTTTTCAACACACACAAGAACATCATGCCCCTATCAGATGAGCTACTCACTAGATGGCTAACTTTGGTGACCCTCTGCTGAAGATAATCTACTTTTTCCTGCATTTCTGAGAACACACGGAAGTTCTGTCTTAGGACTTCTTGTGTTTAGGTGACCAGAATGGATAGAAATCCATCTATCCAAACTCTAATTTTATGAGTCAGAGAGATAAGGCACCCAGAGGTGGATTGATTTGACACAGAGCACATAATATCAATGCTCTTATTTCCTAAATAAAAACCAGAGTGGCTTAGCACCTGAGGCCAGTGCACTGAATTCTAAATTCCTGATTTTATTTTGTTCCTTCCCATTTACTCAATATGATTAGTTTCAGGCTGGATATTGTTTAAATTTTTCTACTTCTGGTTTACTAACCACACACTCAGTCAAGTCTTTGATTTTGAGGCCATCAGGATTACTGACTCTTTGAAACAATCTCCCAGTATGGCAGATGGAATGTTTCTGCCATCTTCTTTGAACAACAAAATGTTGGGCTACTTGCTGTTAAAGACATATGTTCTAAAAATATAAAAATAGAGATAGAGCGAGCAGGCAATGTTCAACATATGTATATTTGTTGTTGTTGTTTCTAAACCTAGACTAGAGAAGAACAAATGAAAGAGGAGTTGTTTGTACCCAAGTTCAACAACCTCCCTTAAACTGTCAAGTGGTATCAGCCAGGAAGGGCTTAGAGATGCAAGGAACATTCCAGGGGGCGTCTTAACCCTGAATCGTTTTTTTTTTTTTTTTTTTTGGTGCTTGTTTGTTTCTGTTTGTTTTGTGGCACAGCATATCCTCCTGAATTGTTCTGGTGCAAATTTCTTTTCTCCACCACTTACTCATTTACCTAAAACTCACACACACACACACACACACACACACAAGCAAGGCACCTCAAGCCCAAACAATTAACATAAAGTTTCTTTACAACACAACCTGCCTCGTTTTCCTTCCTCAGTGGGGTTCTACTGATCTCAGCAGAACATGCTGCCCAAAGGGACATCTACGGCTGTCAGTGTTTGAAGAGCTTAACTGGAATCCCTAGCGTTTTAGAGCCTTATTTTTAATAACACCAATCATCAAATATAGCTGACCTTCGGGCCGCAGAACTGAAAACCAAGTAATAATCAACGCTGCTCCATAGACAATAGCCTATGACCCCACCACCCCCAATCCCAAACCCCAATTACATCATGCAAAACAGTCTGGAAAGACTGCATTTTGAGCTTATTGTAAACAAGTGAAAAGCCCAATGTTTCTTTCTCAACATCTCCAGACACATCTAAAATATGTCTCCATTTTTTAAACATCCCATTACATTTTTCTTGTTAAAAATGTGTTTGTAAAACGTCTAGTCACAGGGCTAATCTATAGAAATCAGATTGTTTTACGTTTTCCTTTTAGGTTTGGGTGGTTACTTGGTTAGTTAAAAAAGAAAGAAAGAAAGAAAGAAAAAGCACCAAACAACTGCTTGCAACAGAAAATAAAGGAAAAATTATTGAATGACTTCTTTTTAAATCGGGCGACTTTTGAGCCGCGCTGGACACTTCACAAATTACGACCTGCTACCTTTTAACAGAAAAATCGCCATAGACTCATACGAAGGCAGAAAGCAATGATTTGAGATGGTAGGGGACACCCCTCCCCCCAATATCAGTAATGTTCTTGGACGGGAATTATCCATTCTGAGGAGCAAATGGGCTCCTTGCTTCAGGGCGCGCAGGGGGCAGCTGCCCCAGCCTCGGCGAGAGCACGGCGGGCGCGGAGACCCGGCCGGTGCTACTGCCTTGAGGGACGGGGTTCGGGGGGTGCCGTCCGGTCTCCGCGGGCCCGCGGGGGTGGAGGGGAGCCCAGACGTCGCAGCTATAACGACTTGCCCCCTCGGCTTCCCCGCCTTCCGGAGCGAACGCCGCGCTTCCTTTCACGTCCTCGCGGGACCCACGCGGAGCAGGAGGCAGCAGCACCCGGGCCTCCCGGGCAGCCGAGCAGCGCCCGCGGGGTTGACCGTGAACGCCACCGGAGTCAGGGCGCGTCTCCCGCGGCGTCTGAGAGCCCCGCCGGGTCTCAAGGGACCACCTCGCCTCCCGTCTCCTCCTTCTTTCCCAGCCGGCACCTCTTGCCTCTGGCTGCTCCGGGGATGGAGTCGCAGGGCCTGAGAGATGCGGCCTAAAATGCCGCAGGCGGCCGCCTGACTCCTCCCGGTGAGGGCCTAGGCCTTCCGTCCAGCTCGCGAACCACGCCCCGCCCCACGGAGTCCAGGACAGAACATTCACCGCCAGGAGAAGAAACCCAGGTCGGAAACCTAGCCCCCTACTTCACCTTTCTGATTTGAAAGCGGAGGGAGACTTTACTCCCTGCCTGCCCCCTCCTCTCAGATATTTTCAACATACGTTTAATTGAGTAATATGTTCATTCCCCTTCTAGTTCGACTAAGATGCTTTGAGGGTAGAGGTGAGGGTTGCAGGTGTGGTGAGTTTCTAAACAGTGAATGTTCCTAGAGAGACAAGTACTTCTCTGCTCAGGGAAACAGCCTTGCTTCTCAAATGCCCTCTCCTTATTCAGTTGTAGAGTCAAACCCTGCCTTGCCTCAAGTCGCACTTCTTTCTAGAAAGTTTCCTGTACTACTTTCCACTCTATCAGCTGAGCCCCTCAGAGCTCCACCTTTTGCGCAGGAAGCTTTGTTATAGAACAAGTAACGGGAGTTGTGTGTGAGTTTTGACTCCCCCTAAGAGATCTTAAGCTTCTTGAGGGCAGGGCTCTTGACGTTTAATAATGAGGAGACAGTCCCTGAGGAAAGTGCTCTGGACTGGAATTCAGGACACCTGTGTTTAGTCTTTTCTCTTTCACAGGAGAAGCTTAGGTAGGTAGGATACTTAACCTTTCTATAATTTGAGATTCTTAAATTATAAAATAAGGCAAATGTTCTTGTTGACTTTTAAGTTACCCTCTAAAATTTATGTGATTTTTCAGAATCTTGAAATTCTGGTGTTTATTCAGGATTACTCTGAGCCAAGCCCTATGTCAAATACTTTACTTACATTAACTCATTTAATCCGCACCAAGAAGGAAGTGTTTTTATTCTTTTGATTTTCAGATAAGGAAACGGAGAGGCGTAAGGTGTTAAGTAACTTGTCCACTGAATCCAGAGTCCAAATTTTTATGCATTTTGTTGTAGTGTTTATCCACGGTGCCAACCACATAAGTCCTCTACAAAGAGTTATCAGGCTATTGGTGTTTGATACAGGTACTATCATGCTGGTAAAGAATTAGAGAGCTGGGAAAGCTGACTGTTTAATATCAGATGTATGTGCAAACTATGGCTGTACCTTCTCGGGAAAATTAGCAAATGGCAAGTATTTGAATGAAAACAAAGCTAAAGAGAGAGGTCAAAATTAACAGTAAAGTCAATGAGAGGATTAACTTAATAAAGACTTTTTTTCATGTCTGACACTAATTGGTTAAGGAAATAATTTTCAGGGAGAAGAAAGATACTGTTTATATTCACAAATGATGTCTGTGGCATGCCTAACACGTGCAGAAAATTGGAAGTATTCAATGTAAAATATAAATGTGTCGTCTCTATGAAAGCTAACATCCATATGGTTGGAAACATTTGAATACATGAAGTCCCACCCCCCAGCTTTCATTTGGTTATTTGATATACTGAAAATCAGTCACAATTTGCATTTAAAGAATAAAGGAAAAGAATAATTCATCCTCACCCAAAGGGGCCAGTCCTCATAGTTTACCACTTTACAGTTCTTGACTGAGAATAACAAGAACAACCAGAACTTCAAGGAATGTATCATGAGGCCTAAAGAGAGCCAGTCTTCAGAAGTCAGTTATTCTCAGAACTCAGTCTGCACAAAGTCAGACTGAATTGTATGTAGAAACACATACATTTGCTTCTTCCCTTTTCTAATTTTCATAAGTGAACAAGGACTTGGCATAATTACAAACATTACAATATTACTGATATTATTTAGTTTTGAATCACAGAATCTAAGACAAGAAGAGACATTAGAAGTCATCTAATTTGGTTTCTGTACTTTACAGGTGAAGAACCTAAGGTCCAGAAAGGTACTAGCAGCAATAGTGGTAAGAAAAAAAAATATTTTCTTATATCTTTAATAGGTACTTAAGTGGATATTAGAACTGGCAGGCAAAAGTTAATCTCAAGCTAGATATATTAATAACATTAATGATTAATTACTGTATTAAGTATAGTAATTAACAGTAATTAATTTTATTAATAATTAAATACTGAAGATCTAAAAGTTATTAAGAATAAGCAGGTTTGAATAACTAGATATATGCCCAGAGGGTTTCTTCCTTCCTACTTACCTCCAAGAATCTTACAGAAAAGGTGACTGCTCACATCCATCCTATCCCACAGGATATTAAGCAGGGTAAAAAGGAACTGGCTGATCCATTTTATTTCTTCCATTTCAGAATTTTTTTTAATGTGATTTGACAGATGAAACAGAGACAAAATCAAGAAAAAAGCCAGGCTTCTTAATTGCCCTGCCCAAGCTGCTCAGATGGCATGTTAATTCCCTGGTTGTTCCCTGATTCAGACACCATGGAAGTTGAGGGCATTCTGGTTCCTATGAACCACAAGGACTTCACTTGCAATTCATTATCTTACATCCAATACACTCCTTCTATGAGAGAGATCCAGACTTTAGCAAGTTGTGACAACTTATTCTTTGTATGTTAATATTTATTATTAACTTTCTTGGTACCAGATGCTGAGCTAAGAGTTTTTTGTGTATCATATCTCAGTTAGTCTTCATAACAGCCTTATGGGTATTTACTATTCCCATTTACAGATGGAGAAACTAAAGTTTAGAGAAGTTCTCTAAGTTGCTCTCCATTACATAGTGAGTGATCAGTAAAGTTGAAATTGACAGCCCATGTATTTAATTCTCACATACTGAAGCCTCATATCTTAAGAATATGAAAGTAAAATGTAATTAAGACTAACCTTAAATTTAATTTCAGATTTAAAATGTTTGTATTTTAGAAGCCTAGTGTTAAGTTGTTATAAACCTATATGTACACTATGAATGATCTTAGTTCTGTTGAAAAATATATTAAAAATATATAATTATGAACATGCATACAAAAAAGTTAATTTTTCTATTTGGGGTTTTATTGCTGACAGAATTGAAGCTCTCAGAATAACAATTATTTGCTTGCAATACTCATAGCCTAGTAAAGAAATAGCATGGTTCTATAATATCATACAGATAAAATTATTAATGAAAAAAATTACCAATTACCATCACATTCCCCAAAATATAGCTTTTTTCTAGAGTCCAGTCTTTGGCCCTGTGCATACTTTTACTTAAAGGCAATTATTGTATACCACAATTTTGAATTCCACATTTTTTCACTTATGTTATATCATAAATATTATCTGTGTTTATGTGGTATAGTTTTTATTTGATGATTAGTTAAAACAGTGGAAGTATCATTACTTATTACATAAGATATTTTTCTTTCTTTTCTTTCCTCCCTCTCCCCTATTTCTTTTAGTGGGATTGGCCAACATCTGAACCTTTTATGTTTAGAGAATTTCTCACTGTGAGCCAGAAAATGCCATACCCTTGCTTTCTCGGTAGGCTCATCTGTTTCCAGCACAGCCATGTGAAGGTGCTGTAGATAAACATCCAGCAGCAGTTAGCTCTAGTGGTTTGGCAACATCAGGGTTTGGGATAAGGGTAGTTGTCTCCTTACCAGACTGGCTGTGTGGTGACATATTGGCTCTGGCTGCTGGGCTTTCCATTTTTCAAGCTTGATTTCCAGTCCTCCTAGCAATTTTCTAAGCTATCCATTTATTTAATCCTTTTCCAATGAAATAACCAACAGTTAGTTTCTGTTGCTTACAACTAAGAATCCAGATAATGTACCATATTATAAACCAAATAGTGGTGCTCTGAATTTTTTTTAGGGCTTGTGGGCTATGGCCTGGAATTGTGGGAGGGAAGTTGGACCAGATGGCCTAGAAAGTATCTATGTAAGATGGCCAAATGGCAGCTTCTTCAAATTCCGTTTTCTCTCCTTCCCCAGCTTTGGGCTCTTTTAATACACACCCTTTTCACTTTGTTAAACCTAAACAAGTACGTTACAAGAGCCAAAGATGGCCCTTTTCTTTGTCCACCAAGAAAACACAAATTTATCTAACTGAGTTGTAGAACAGAACTTATTTCCTATTTTATTTTACAGCTTTCCTATCTTATCAGCTCGAGTAGTTATTCTTCTGAGTCTGAGCCTATGTGTAGGAGGGTAGCTGACACTTCCTGATAGCTCACATTATACTAGGCACTCTGCTAAGCACTTTCCATAGGTTGCCTCCTTAAAATCCTCTCCACAACACTATGAGGTGTAGGTACTATTAAAATCCTTATTTTAAAGAAGGTGAAACTGAGAAGAGAGGTCACCCAGCTAGAAAATGGCAATGCTCACTTTTAAACTTAGCCGTCTGGCTCCTGAGCATTCATTCTTAACAACATTGTATATACACTCTCTACCCTAACTTGCTTGACTCATCCCATTTTTCTTTTTCTTACTTTTCATCTTTCTCATCTCCTAACTTTTTCTTTCCTATTTGAGAATGACATGAAGGCATCCCATCCAGTCCCTAATTGAACATCTATAATTGTGGGAGGTGGGTGGTTCCGTACCTATCACTTGCGGGTGCCCTTGAGAATACCTCTAGTTTTGCTCTCCTGGCTCTAGGAATTCCTTCTAACTTCACCTCTTCCTGACCTCCACTAATTCCATCCCTTCCCCCACTAGGAACTTCTGCTCTCTCATCATCTGGTTTCTTTCTTGCTGTCTTCTATTTGAATCCTGTCTCATGACTCTGTTCCTTCATTAATTAAAATATTTATTCAGAGGTGATGCAAAATTTTACAGAGAGAAAATACCATCCCCTTTCAAGGAGTTTACAAATCGTAATGAAGTATATAACCTGATTTATGTTAGAGAACATTTTTTAATTAATATTTTTATTAGAGTTTAGTTAAACATTTAAACTTCTAGGATTTTATTATAAAAGTCGTATAGAGTAATTACAGGTGACATTCCTTTCTCCCCAAAACGTATAACTTGAGAGTAAGCCTTTAGTTCTGGTTGGGGCTGTGATCAACATGTGATTTGGGTCAAATGCTAAGGTTTTATGATGACCTTTGCTGGAGAAGACATGATGGTGGGGAAATGTTAACGTAATCTTCATGCCCCTGTTTGACTGCGAAAGCCAAGGGAATGGAAAGACAAGAGTGTCAAAATTGTAGAAACTTGGGGCTTTTCAGGTGTTTGTGAGTCAGAAAGGATGAAAATGAGGGTGAGATAGTTGGAAATGACCCTGGGGAAATTGTATGCTTAGGAAAAAGGGGATTTAATTTTGGGAAAATTCTGTAGATGGCATCTAGGGATGCTACCGAGTTAGATAGAGTTCTTAATGGTTTCAAGGTGATCCAGATCTGGAATATGTGAGTGACTAGAGGAAGTTTTTTTTAAAAAACTTCTGGCTTAAAAAAAGAAAATAAAGTTAGGAACAACTCTAAAAGCAAGATAATTCACCCATGGTTTAGTGTAACTATGGAATTATACATATATGTGTTTATATCTCTCTTTAGGAGAGCCTTTCCTTCTAATGCTACACTACTCACATTGTTCACCTGGCTTCTTGAGTTCCGTCCAAAGAGTCAAGCTCTTTCTTGTCTGAGGGACTTGCAACCTGGAATCACTCCCCCCTCCCCATTTTCTTCTAAGATCTTGAGGCTTTAGCTAAGCGATGCTTCTTCAGAGAGGCCTTACCTGAGCACCCTCTTTGTTTCCTTTACATACTATCAGAGTTTGCAGATGTAGTTTAATATATATTTTTTGTCTCTTCTTCTAGACCATAAGCAACCTATGCCCAGAGGGCTTTTCTGTCCATTCACTACTTTATGTTTCCTCAGCATACAGTTCCTGTCACATAGTAAATGCTCAATGGACATTGAATGATTGTTTATATTAATTGGGGTCCAGCTAAGCTACTGTTACAAAGAAATCTAAAAATACAGTGGCTTAAATATGGCTGACTTTAATCCTCTTGCATGTAAAATTTCAGAGAAATATAAGAGCCCAGACTGCTGGGCTGCCTTAGCTCCGTGAGGTCATTCATAAGGTGGGTATCTTCCATTGTGCTCTTCCAACATTCCTTAGGTCTTGTCTGTACGGTTGAAGCTGTGTCACCTCCACATTCCCATTTCGGTTTTTAGGAAGAGTGATAGAGGGAAAGTGGAAGGCAAGCAATTTCCTACGAAGGAAGTGACTTGTAAGTGGCACACAATTTCCACTCACATTTTATTGTGATGAACTTAGTCACATGGCCACACCTAGCTGCAAAGGATACTAGGAAATGCAAAGGATACTAGAGAATGGGTATTTGGGGAATAACTAATCATTTGCTTCATTGTTGGATAAATGTTTGTTGAAAGAATGAATATTCATTCTTACATTATCAGAGGTTGGAATAAAATAGGGGTTTGAGAGCTGTGTTTTAGAATCCCAGAAAAATATTTATGATACAAAATATTAGATATAGACTAAGATAACATCAAATATGTTTCATGACACAACCTATTTACCTGCAAATTTTGGGACAAGGGGGGTTAAAGGTCTAAGAAATTTGCTAAGGCCAAGAAATTGAGCAAAGGGGGCATGGGTGGCTCTGGGTATTGTGGGTACATACCTGGCCTTGTTAGAATTGGGAGATGAATTCCATGTCTTCAGCAAGCTCCCAGAAATAAGCTTTTAGCTGCTACAGTTAGGTAAGACTTTCCTAATCAGAAAGGAGCTATTTTGAGGCAAGGACATTACTTGATTACCAGCCTTTTCTCTTTGTTAACCTAAATTTGACACTAACAAAGACTTGGAAATTCTACGGCTGAAAACAGAGCAAAACCAAATACTAACTATTTTAAAGAATATGGATAAAATTTATGTTCCAATGATGTGTCCTGATAGAGAAATCACATTTTTACAAGTGTGGCTTGAGTATGGAGCTCTATGACAGTGCTTGCACCTGTCCTTCCCTTTGAGTG